ATATTTTTGTGCGGTTAGGTTAAAAACGGCCTTTCTAGGAATTGATTGGTTATTACGCGTGCAACCTTAAAATGGATCATCGAGCACCTTGTTAAATTGGACTTTTACTTTTGTTCAACACGAGTGAGTAGATTGGATTCGTCTGTGGACACGCCAACGAAGGCGCCAACTTACTGTAAGCAGCGGGTGGATAATGGCACAACTGCAGAATGTCCTCTTTTTGCTCGTTACAAGATCAAACGTTGAAAATAATTGAAATAATACACGAAAACAAAGCCAAATTACGTGAATTTCAGCCACAAATTCGCCGATCGTGGGGTTCGAAAAAAGTGGATTCGATCTTTCGAATGTTTTTGGAACCCGTCATTTCGGTGTTTGCCTTCAACATGTCTGAAGCATTCGACTTGTCCAAGAAGCATCAAAAGCAAGGCGGCCACCATAACCACCATGGTCATGGCGGAGACAAGAAGCAGTACAGTCTAAATGGTGAAGCAAAGCCGTATCACCATGCTCACGGTGATGACATCAACTCAACTCCCAAGCCTCCTCACCCCGCTGCCGACAGGTAGACCGCTCTCGTCTCAATCCACTTATGTCAGCATCATAACCACAACGTATTCTCTATCCGTAGCACGCTGAAAGTGCTTGTGACACTGTCTCGTCACGGCAGTCGCCGGCCCAACCCGATATCCACGACCCTGTGCCCCAACAACGTCCAGAACTCCGAGTCGTACCACGTGCCTCCGGAACAGTTGACCGAGATTGGCATGGAGCAAATGCGCCTCGCGGGCGAAGAAGTGCGCCGCGAGTACATTGACAACCAAGGGTTTCTCTCAAATTCGATCGGCGGCCCCGAGAACAAGCACTTTGAAACGTACTTTCGATCGGACGCCGCGGACCGGTGTGCCCAAAGCGCGGTTGCGCTCGGGTACGGCCTGTACCCGGACTCGACGGCGCCGGACCAGTACTACCACCAGCCCATTTCCGTGTACATGAACCAGTTGCCGAACGAACACGACTTTGCCGCCCCCAAAGGACCGTGCAAGGCCGTGGCCAATGCGGACATCCACGCGTACTTGGAACCGCGCGCGCTCGAAACCATCCAAGAGCACAAGGCGCTGCTTGAGCAAGTGGGCCAGCTGTGCGGGATCAACGTGTGGGACATCCCGACACTCCCGGACGGCGAAGACCTTGTGACTGGGATCAAGGACATTGCCGACACGTTCACGTTCGACGCGCAGCAAGGTCTGCGCCGTCTCAAGGGTCTCACGGCGGAACAGCAGACAGAAATCGAAGGGCTGGCTTTCCAGCACCTCATGGAGCGGTACTTCTCGACGGACCGCGAGGTCACGTACTGGGTGGGCGGGTTCCCGACGTTGCTCCTGAAGAATCTGCAGCTGCCGACACCCGAGAAGAAGGAAGCGTTCAAGTATTACTCGTACCACGGCCACCGCGAGTTGTTGCATGGGATGGGGCAGCTCTTGGGGTGGACGTTCGACTTTGCCGGGCAGCCGCGCGCACTCAACACGTCGGCGCTGGACCCGGCCACGACGCTGTTCTTTGAGCTGCACCAGACCAACAGCTCGACGGAATTGCTGTTTGTGCGCACGTTCGTGTGGTCGCCTCGCGTCCGTCGCACGGGGGTGAAACTGGCCAAGTGCTCGGCGGTCGACTGTCCGTTGGCCGAGTTCACGAGCATCATCCAACGCCACATCGACGCCACGGGCCCGTGGGAGCAGATCTGCAACTACCACGCAGCCACGTTCGCCCCCGTGCTCCACCCGACGACGTCCCCCGTCACCCCAGTCACCACCACCACTGCCAAGCCAGTTGAAGCCACAATACCAGCTGAGACGAAGCCAGAGACCACCATCACTGCGTCCCCAACGACAACGGCTACGCCAGCCATCATAACCACCACACCGAAGGCAGTTGAAGCCACAAAGCCAGTCGAGACGAAGGTAGTGACCACCACCACTACCACCGCATCCCCAACGACGACAGCTACGCCAGCCCCAGTCACCACCACAGCCAAACCCGTGGAAGTAAAGGCCTTGGAAAGCACGACTGCCACGCCAAAGGTTGGGACGACGGCAAAGCCAGTTGCGACGACTGTCAACCCGGAGGAGACTATGACACCAAAGCCAACGGAGGCAGCTACAACCAAACTCGTACAGTCAACTCCTGTAGTGCCCACCACTTCAAAACCCGAGCAAGAGGTGGAGCGTGCGTGGCAACCCACGGCAACCATCGTGGTGCCCGTGCCCAGTGCAACCCCCCAACCCCCAGCGCGCCTCTTGGCAAGGTTCAGTTCTGGGGACGACTTGCCTCCCTTGAGAGCCTTCGAAGGCGTTGGGTGGGTGGCTTGCGTTGCGGTCGCCGCAGTTGTAGTGATTGTGGTGGTGAGACGGTTCACCCGTCGCAACCAAACGGGCTATCGTCGCCTGGACTAAGCTTCAATAAAGTTGATGAATATACCATCTCGGTTACATTTCAAGTTCCAAGAGTCCATCATTCAACGGTTTGATCTACTTTCAATTCATCCAAGACACGGGAATGAACGCTCGTTTTACTACAGTAGTAGGTTTTATTAGCTCTAGCTTGTCAGATACTGCTAAGTAGTCCTGTCGGGGGAAGGGGGGGGGAGAGTAGGTGTGAACTTTATGGGGACTTTATAGATGGTGACGCATCTATCTATCCTGTACACTTCCTTGGTGAACATAATGCTTTGACATGAAGTAAGGCAACGTTTTCTATATTTAGTTAATCCAGTCGGTGGTAGCCCGTTTGGTTGCGACGCTTGTACCGCTTGGCAGCAAAATAGACGAGCACAGCGGCCACCGCAAGGTACGAAACCCACCCGATGCCTTCGAAGAGTGTCAGGGGGGGCAGGTTCATTTTTTGGTTCAGCCGGAGCAGAGGTTGAGGGGTGATTGCCACGTCAATGGCAAGGATTGTGGGGACGGTCGTTGGCTCCGACTGCACTTTCTTAGTAGGTTGATTGGGTTGAACCGACTCAAGTTGCTCGATAGTAGTAGAGATCCCAGGTTTGGATATCGACGGTTGGTCGGTTGTCGTAGCTACCTCCGCTGGCTTTGGTGCCGTAGTCTCCACCGGGTTGGCAGGCATCACAACTGGCTTTGCCGTCGTCCCAACCTTTGGCGTGGTAGTCGTACTTTCCAACATCTTTACTTCAACGGGCTTGGCTGTGGTGGTGACTAGAGCTGGCGTAGCTGTCGTCGTTGGGGACGCGGTGGTCGTCACTGGCTTCGCCTCTGCTGGCTTTGTGCCTTCAACTGACTTTGCAGCGGTGGTGACTGGGGCTGGCGTAGCTGTCGTCGTTGGGGATGCGGTGGTAGTGGTGGTGGTCACTACCTTCGTCTCGACTGGCTTTGTGGCTTCAACTGCCTTCGGTGTGGTGGTTATGATGGCTGGCGTAGCCGTTGTCGTTGGGGACGCAGTGATGGTGGTCTCTGGCTTCGTCTCAGCTGGTATTGTGGCTTCAACTGGCTTGGCAGTGGTGGTGGTGACTGGGGTGACGGGGGACGTCGTCGGGTGGAGCACGGGGGCGAACGTGGCTGCGTGGTAGTTGCAGATCTGCTCCCACGGGCCCGTGGCGTCGATGTGGCGTTGGATGATGCTCGTGAACTCGGCCAACGGACAGTCGACCGCCGAGCACTTGGCCAGTTTCACCCCCGTGCGACGGACGCGAGGCGACCACACGAACGTGCGCACAAACAGCAATTCCGTCGAGCTGTTGGTCTGGTGCAGCTCAAAGAACAGCGTCGTGGCCGGGTCCAGCGCCGACGTGTTGAGTGCGCGCGGCTGCCCGGCAAAGTCGAACGTCCACCCCAAGAGCTGCCCCATCCCATGCAACAACTCGCGGTGGCCGTGGTACGAGTAATACTTGAACGCTTCCTTCTTCTCGGGTGTCGGCAGCTGCAGATTCTTCAGGAGCAACGTCGGGAACCCGCCCACCCAGTACGTGACCTCGCGGTCCGTCGAGAAGTACCGCTCCATGAGGTGCTGGAAAGCCAGCCCTTCGATTTCTGTCTGCTGTTCCGCCGTGAGACCCTTGAGACGGCGCAGACCTTGCTGCGCGTCGAACGTGAACGTGTCGGCAATGTCCTTGATCCCAGTCACAAGGTCTTCGCCGTCGGGGAGTGTCGGGATGTCCCACACGTTGATCCCGCACAGCTGGCCCACTTGCTCAAGCAGCGCCTTGTGCTCTTGGATGGTTTCGAGCGCGCGCGGTTCCAAGTACGCGTGGATGTCCGCATTGGCCACGGCCTTGCACGGTCCTTTGGGGGCGGCAAAGTCGTGTTCGTTCGGCAACTGGTTCATGTACACGGAAATGGGCTGGTGGTAGTACTGGTCCGGCGCCGTCGAGTCCGGGTACAGGCCGTACCCGAGCGCAACCGCGCTTTGGGCACACCGGTCCGCGGCGTCCGATCGAAAGTACGTTTCAAAGTGCTTGTTCTCGGGGCCGCCGATCGAATTTGAGAGAAACCCTTGGTTGTCAATGTACTCGCGGCGCACTTCTTCGCCCGCGAGGCGCATTTGCTCCATGCCAATCTCGGTCAACTGTTCCGGAGGCACGTGGTACGACTCGGAGTTCTGGACGTTGTTGGGGCACAGGGTCGTGGATATCGGGTTGGGCCGGCGACTGCCGTGACGAGACAGTGTCACAAGCACTTTCAGCGTGCTACGGATAGAG